TTATTGTAAACAGTCTCAGTAATACATCAACATAGAGAATATCTCTGTTATTGTAAATAGTCTCAGTAATACATCAACATAGAGAATATCTCTGTTATTGTAAACAGTCTCAGTAATACATCAATATACAGAATATCTCTGTTATAGTGTAACTAGTTTCAATAATACATCAACATAGAGAATATCTCTGTTATTGTGAACAGTCTCAGTAATACATCAACATAGAGAATATGTCTGTAATTGTAAACAGTCCCAGTAATACATCAACATCGAGAATATGTCTGTTATTGTAAACAGTCTCAGTAATACATCAACATTGAAGATATATCTCTGTTATTGTAAACAGTCTCAGTAAAACATCAATATTGAGAATATGTGTGTTATAGTGTAAATAGTTTCAATAATACATCAACATAGAAGATATATCTCTGTCATTGTAAACAGTCTCAGTAATACATCAACATAGAGAATATCTCTGTTATTGTAAACAGTCCCAGTGAGAAACCAACACAGAGAATATCTTTGTGATTGTAAACACGCTCAGTCATATATCAACATAGAGAAATTGTTAACAGTCTTAATGGTAAATCAGCACAGAGAAATCTCCATCAGTGTAAAAAGTCTGAGTCATAATCAGTAGAGAGAAAATATCTGTAATTGTAAACAGCCTCAGTCATAAATCAAGAAAGACAATTTCTTTGATTGAAACAGTCTCAGTCATAAATCAACAAACAAAAAACAGGAAAGAAAACATTAAATCAAAATTCTCTTCCAATTATGCAAGCACCTTGGATAATGCATCTACATCAAAGATGCTTGTTTGGAAGTTTGAAGATAGTATCTAAAATGATAGTATGATAATAAGAAAAATGTAGTCGAAGGTAAATGTTGGACGCCCCTTTAAATTTTTATCTTGACCTTGCAGGGTTCACACCTGTAATTATTCGGCAGGTCAAAGCGGTCATATATCATAACTTCTTTTTGAACTCATCATAACCCGTCACCTCCAGGTGACAGATCGCCGATTCTCGACCACTTGTTGAGATTATTATGATGTGTAAAAGATGGTTGAGGGATTAAAGGGGATAATTTTCACTCGACAGGACACCGACAACTGATCCATGATCTTTCCACCTGTTTAAATCTTAAAACTACTTGATAAAGACTTAAACTACCCTGACTAAACCTGTATGGGTCACCACGTATTTTACCACAGTAATTTGTCGGCGTGTATGTGCAACATGGATTTATTGGAGAAATTTTACCGTGCGTCTTGTATTATTTAACAATAGAAATAATATCAACTATTGTAAAGGATAAAAAAGAGCCGCGGGGTCTACTGAGTTGTAAATAGAGGCATGAGAGCTGAATACAAGTACAGCTTTTCAATTGAAAAGAATAGGTCTTGTTAAAAGAATGTACTCAATCAGATGACAATGTAGAGAATGGTGACCTGCTGGCGACGTAGTGTAAACGTAACAATTGTTGATCTACTCGTCGTGTTAGGATGAACACTAATTCCTCGACCGCACGGCGCCAGTGTGAATAATAACAACAATAATTTCAAACAATATCTATCGGTATGCGCCCGAGCATAACACACATACACAGACAGAAAACCTGGCGAACGGGATCGAATTTCTGAACTAACCAACCGCGAACACTACATTTATTGTCACTTTCAAACAGTCCGTGTACACTTGTTGAAGTGATATAGATGAGCCCGGGGCACGGCCATGAAAAGTAAACAGTTCAATGGAGAAAAAAAAATATTTGGCTCTCGACCCAATGGGTTATTAATGTCGCACCTGGCCCCAAATTTTGGCAAAGAAATTTAGTAAATATAATTTACTCTTTTCAAGTCTTCCAAGGAGTGTAGAAAATCTATTGTGTATTAAGAAATAAATTGGCTGGTTATGCGCGACTATGATATAATATATAAGTTTTAAATAGTAAGATATTTAACCACCTGGAGCGTTTAATAAACATCTGGTTTTAAGTTATTTACCAAACTAACTGTATTCATATTGTACATTATAACACAGGATTTCCTGCCCTACAAACATCTTTATGATTAATCAGCTTTTGTGCAATATTGTATCTCTTTTTTTTTTCACCCAACACCTGACTAGTATAATGTACATTCGTTCTGATTGTTAAACGTTTAACGTTTGACCTTTTATGGGAATTCGGTCGCCAACTGCGTTTTTATTGCATTACACACAACAGTTTAAAACATACTTTACCATTACAATTAGGAATGTATAATTTGAAAGGCGAATATTGAAAAAAATTGCGACGCGTGGGGGAATTATCCTTGCTAAACATTGCCATTCTTAGGTCATAATGAAAATTCTTATTTTGAATTGATATTTCTGTAATTTCATAAAAATTCGTCAGCGGGGGATTGGAAAAAATTCCGCGATTTAGTGTGAAAAGGAAGAAAAAGAGAGGAAAACGTGGAGTTATGAGGTTTCAAATGATATCCTGGTTGTAATTTTTAATTATGAAGTCAGTAATTGTATAATTACTTGTAATATCATTTACTTGGACCAATAACACGTACATATTTATATTATATACATACAATTAAATAACCGTGTAAATATGACACAGATATTTTTGGTTAATAATGAGACAAGATTACCACCTGTTACACTGCGTCATCTTTATGTATTATTATTCTTTTCTAAAGAACCATCTGGGTATAAAATAGGATATTATGAAACAAGACGGCGAACATTTGCTCGATATATTTTTTAATAAAGGTATTGTGTAATGCCTGATTATTCACAAGTATTCAAGTATTATATTTGGAAATAGAATATCCAATTCCATAACCCCTTAATATTCTACACCAGAACTATAATCGAGTGAGACAGAATATTACGTCGAGCAGTGCTCCATTGGGTTTACCTGCAGTCGTAGTATATGAAGGCGTTTGAGGTTACAGTTCTGCGTAGACTATTTTTACTATTCACATGTATTCTTGTTATCCCCTTCTTGATATTCGGAAATAGTATACATCTTGTAAAACCCCATTCTATAACCCCTAAATATTCTACACCAGAACTAAAATCGATTATTACGTTGAACACGTTGTGTTATCTGTAGTTTAAAAACGTTCGAGGTGGCATTTCTGACTTTAATCTAATATTCCACATTTTTAGTTGGTCCTTATTTCAGCTGATTTTAAAATATTATTGCGAATACTCCAAACTTATGTTGCTTTTACCTAAACTAGCCGCTTGGACATCATTAGAACACCATTTAATATGTTCAACATTGTTCATGATAATTTATATTCAAAGTTTTTCAGAGGCCCAATAACGCCCGTTCCAGATTTCTTGTAGTGTTTTCAGTTAAAATAGATCCATCAGTGCACAGAGTTAGCAGGTTTCGGACTAAGCTTTCAGGTGGTAAGATTAAAGGTTCGAGTTGTAGTTGTTATCTCATGTGAAGATATTTTGTATCGTCTGTATCTAATAACCAATTAGTTAGCAGACAAATTCTATCTCTTGTTAAGGGGTGTTCCTTCGGGACACTACTTGAAACTTCAACTATATAAGATCAAGTGTTTAAAATAGGACATTAAAAATGGTTCAGACTATTTGCTGTACACATATCATTTATATTAACACATATTGACTCCAGATTGTTGAAAACGTCTCATAATTCAACAAAAAGTGGTTTTCAACTCGTTTCCCAGGCCTTGTTGTTAAAAGGAGGGCATTATCAAACTTGCAAATCTGTTTTACATTTGATATTAGTCAATAGACTTTGAAGGAACATATATCTGATGCTAAATAAATATAATACGATATTCAGAATAAACAACAGTTTATATTCAACGTAACAAAATTCTCTTACAAAAACAAATAGGGACAGTAAAGAAAAAAAGTTTTCCAATCTTTTATAAAGAAACATAAAGAATAACAGCTAGTGTGTGGGGACAGAGTGAATATGATCTAGGGAAGAACTAAGTTCATCTATGTTACTCGATATGCAAATTGATTCTTATCAGTCGGATTACATTCTAATGAAAGATTTTGTGAACAGTTAAATATTATGAAATGCGGTGGGTAGAATGAAGCTGTCACAGTGGTTCATCTAATTTACATAAACCTTGTGCGTTTAAAACAAGATAACATATCATCATGCACAAAGGCTGGAGTTGAAGGCCTCCATGAAAATATACAGAACAATATTATTCTTGGCCGAGTCTAGTCTTGAATGTTAGACAGATGATACTAACATAATGACATAATAATTTTGTAAGAAGAATATCTCATTAAAATGTGTCGGATAATTAATACTATTGAAACCTCTTTTAACGACCAAAAAAATATCGATTACTATTCAAAATATGACAAAATGAAGTCATTACGTATTATATCATGCAGTCTAATTCAATTTGCCAGAATGAAGATTTACGATCTATCCTTAAAATTAAGCTTATGAGAAATTTATAGCACCGGATTTTCTAAAATGCGAATATATCGTCATCATATTTAAAAGAATCATTAACATGAAATGGAGAATGAACCACTTTGCGCGGAGTTAGCTGTAATCCTACACCAACTAACGTGGCCCAGCTGGTCTGTACAATCTTATCTCGACTATTGTTAAATTAAGACTTTATCGACATGTACGTTATCTGTAGGTGACAAGCCCCGAAGTCTCGTCGGCCAACCAGATGGTTTACACGCCTAGCAGAAATTTGTGTCGATAAGATAATTAAAGCTAAAAGGACTCCACCAAAGTCAACAATACACTATACGATCCTTGACATGAAATTGAACAAGTAGTGAAATATAATCCATAAGAAATAACAATAGTGTATAAGAATAAGAAATTTAAGATATAAGAACTTGGTTTGATTTGAAATTTACAAATAAATTATCACAGTTTAAGAATAAAACATAAATTTTATAACAAAATACATAACAAGGCGACACCAAAAATAGAGCATAGCGATTGCCCCAAGTGGTATCCTAATGTCTCCGTCTAGCTCGTCCCTCTGTTTGAATTGTCTGTGTACACATATCAACACATTCTGCAAAATTTGTAGATTTTTGGTTATCGTCTGCTAAACTAGATAAAGCCATAATATAACTAGAAGCAATTCGTAATATAGCCAATTTAGATAGTTTTTGATTATATGAATAGGAGGGAACAGCACGTCTTAAACTGTCAAAAGCAGCACTTATGGTATGGACACGAGACCTCTCTCTGGCATTAGCTTCCACACGTCTTTCACGAGTCATATTTTTGTAATTTTTTCGGTTTCGCTTACCACTCGCATCACAGAACATAGAATCGTCCTCCTGACAGTCCTCACTGACACTACAAGTGGCTGAAGTCGGTTCAACATTGCCAGGATGTTTGGACATTTTTTCACTTTTTAAACCATTTACAAGACTAGGGTCTAACATTCGGGGTATTAATCCGTTATGAGCTAAATTAGGTTTTCCATAATACAAATTAGGCATGATACAGTTAGAATGGACTCCTTTATAAAACTGAGACAGGTGGTTCATTTCATCACGACGAGATAATCCTTGTGAAGTTTCATCAATATCCGAATTAAATGTATTACACGGTTCCGGTGTGTCCGGAGGATCCTCTTGTGTCGGTTCATAGTCCTCACTCCCTGATCCTCCACTGTGAGACATAGCACTACCAGGACTGTCTGGACAAAATCTCTTAATACTAAAATCACTCCGTCTTCTAGGTTCACTAAGTTTCCTTTTATTTTTCCTAGGTGTATCCGAAGGTGAGATCAATTTCTCCGGGGAGCTGCTATCCGGTGACAATGTTCTGTGCTGGACACTAGGTGTTGGAGAACATGGTGTTTCACAGGTGGATAATAAGCCCGCCATCGTTGAGCAAGTGATAGAAACTGCCAGCTAGCTATATACCCTGTTTACACTATCACGACTGAGCCACTAGGCGGCCAGATGTTAAATGTTAAAGAATTCCTTGGATGCGTGTTATTTATTGACTAATCTCATTCAGATGGCTATCTTTCATAGAGGCAATTGAGGCGAGATATAAAAATAGACTCGACTAACTAGGTCCTGTCCGTTCGCTCACACAACTAACAATCGTCTGCTAGCTTTTCCGATCTCGCACAGCTTTTAACATTTCATCTGCTACACGTAATTAGAATATGAAAATTAGAAGTCGGCTGTTTATATGGTGGAGTGTATAATAGCGATACCAGGTGGTTGAATACAGGCATTTTACTTGTTCTCGCTTCTATTCAATATGTGATCTAATGCTTGAGTTAGGAGTAGAGTCCATTTATTAATGGGGTGTGAACAGCTACCACCCTCATTAATATCCTTTATGATTATTTTCATATTGAAATAATGGTAGTTTGTAAGAAAGCAATCAATATAATCAATCAATCATTAATCAAATGACAAAAAATAATAGTAGTAAATCAAGCATATTGTCAATTTGTAACCTGTGGCCAGAATGGATCGAGCTATGAGATTTTGATCATTTGCCAGATTTTGAGTAACATCTGGACAAGAAGAAAATATAGTCGAATATGGCATGGCGTCAAATATTTTAATTAAAAGCTATTTGGCTTTTTGCCACAGATGCTATATTATGGAGTGTTATTTATTTTGGCTGACGTAAACATGGCGACATACAAACTCATACAATTATATATTTCTAAACCACCTGTTAACGTCTAAATATATCAATAATAATGTGGTATTGGTACATACTGGTAAAATGGAATGCTGCTATTGAACAATGCCCAACGGACAGGTCTAACGGAGACACTAAACAGAATGATCAACTATTCCAATCATCCTGCTTTTGTTAAGATTATTCAGTCATCAGTGCATCTGCAAGTTAAGATGACAGGTGCTCATGTCATAATGATCCTGACAAAGGTCACAAATGTGGTAAATAGCGGAAAAATACTTCATTAACACTAAAGCTTTAAAAATTTACAAATTGAAAAGTGCTGTTCAAACGGAAGTATGAAGATAACATGCGGAGAAATCGGTTAACATAACAGAAATCCTTAAAAACAAATGCAAATCGTATGAAAGTGGAAAACATGGTTTTATATATTACACAAATCTAAAAAATAAGATAGTAAAGATTAATGAAAATAACGATATTCTTATCAAAATATAAACTTCGCCTGCATTTTGATTGTACAAAAAGATAAGATTTAGAATAAGGCGTCACCTGGTTTACTTTCTGTTTTAATGATGCAAAAAAATAAAAAACCAAAAACACCACAGCAATTTAATAAGAACAAGGTGAAATATAGAAGTAAAGTATACTTGTTACACTCTGTAAAAATCAGTACGTGCTCAATTACACAGAGAATATAAATATAGAGTTCTAATAAAAATATTATTTGTAGTATTCTTCTCTTTTTCCAAAAAGCACAGAGATATCCAGCTTCGACACGTTTCTAACAAAATGTAGGTGAGGGACCGAACAGAGGCGAACCCTAATAAAAGTCAGTTTTAAGAATTTCGACGTGTCAGTTGTTTCATGACAGTCAGCTTACGGATTTATAAGTTGTTGTATTAGTTCTATAGTTTTAGAATTGTCAGAAGATTAGTTTTAGAATCATCAGTTGTTTGGTTTTAGAAGTGTCAGTTGTTTGGTTTTAAAAGTATCAGTTGTTTGGTTTTAGAAATGTGAGTTGTTTGGTTTTAGAAGTGTCAGTTGTTTGCTTTTATAAGTGTCAGTTGTTTGGTTTTAAAAGTATCAGTTGTTTGGTTTTAGAAATGTGAGTTGTTTGCTTTTAGAAGTGTCAGTTGTTTGGTTTTAAAAGTATCAGTTGTTTGGTTTTAGAAGTGTCAGTTGTTTGGTTTTAGAAGTGTCAGTTGTTTGCTTTTAGAAGTGTCAGTTGTTTGGTCTTAAAAGTATCAGTTGTTTGGTTTTAGAAATGTGAGTTGTTTGGTTTTAGAAGTGTCAGTTGTTTGCTTTTAGAAGTGTCAGTTGTTTGGTTTTAGAAGTGTCAGTTGTTTGCTTTTAGAAGTGTCAGTTGTTTGCTTTTAGAAGTGTCAGTTGTTTGCTTTTAAAAGTATCAGTTGTTTTGTTTTAGAAGTGTCAGTTGTGTGGTTTTAGAAATGTCAGTTGTTTGATTTTAGAAGTGTCAGTTGTTTGGTTTTAGAGGTGTCAGTTGTTTGGTTTTAGAATTATCAGTTGTTTGTTTTTAGAAGTGTCAGTTGTTTGCTTTTAGAAGTGTCAGTTGTTTGGTCCTAAAATTGTCGGTAGTTTGGTTTTAGAAGTGGCAGTAACCTGATTTTAGAACCAACAGTTGTTTGGTTATACAGAGCAATGAGCGTTTCATGTCTAATTTGGGGCATCATTCTAATATTTGAATTGTTCATTTTAAGAACCCCAAAGCATCAAAGCATCCAGGTGGACTATTCTTGTAAATGAAACCGTTATAAAACACTGTCAGTTTTGCTTAATGACACAGTAGGCACATTTAAAATTTAATTTTTTTTTTACTCTTATCTTATCTAAAATTTTTATCTTTAAATTGTTACACCCTTTTACTTATCAGTACTTTACATACGTCAAGATTTGTAGTAATCTAAATACTATTCTTATTTTTACTACATTTGTTACAAGGACAGCAGTTCAATATATTTTAAAAGGCTGGCTTCTTGGGGTTTTTTAATGAGGTATATTCGTAGGTGAATAAGATGAATTCTTTAAAAAAAATATCTTTAAAGGATTGGTAATGAATTGATAAACTCGTCCGCAGAGTGGATGCAGGTGTTCAGGAAGATGAACATACCGAAGGCACCCGGGACATAGGTATTACGTGTAGTATGAAAAGGCCCTTTATTTATATAGTTTCAAATTTTTACTTTTTAATTGACATACAAAATTTATCTGAATAAACAGTATCTTTTAATATGTTTAGATATGAAAAATATTATTTATGCATCTGCTTACATAAGATGGACAGTAAAAAATATTTGAAATTCAAACAAATGAAGATTAGTCTCGACAACTTATAGTGGGATGATTTGAAGGTAAACACGCGATTTTTCAATCGAGTGACTCTGAATGGGTTTCAATGGTTTTTGGTGGGTAAATGTAAGTAAAATGTAAAAAGAGAGTGAATATAACCATAGGATAATTGTGATGAAAATATAAAGCCCTGTGTCAAACCTATTTTGATATGGCGAGAAAAATGCAGTCGAGGCGCCAGCCGGTCGCGTGAAGTTAAAAAGAGGTCAGAATGTCGCCAGTGTGTACCTACTCCACGTAAATTAAATTTACTGGTGTGACATAATATAGTGGTTTACACAATTTATATTATCATTCATTCACACACATAGCTGTTTACCCTTATCAACTTTTATTTGAATTCAACAAAATTAGCATATCCTCAAATTTTAACCGTTTTTTTTTCTACGAGGCATTGTTTAAACTACATGCTTTATTTTCACTGACAGCTTATCTCACATTCAATAGATTATAATATAAATTACACGTAAACTCTGAAAATTATTTTTATGGAAAAATATACATGTGTAGATTAAAATTAAATTTGGGAAAGAAACGTTTCAACCTATTACTTTTAACATTTAACAATATCATGTATGTATCAAGTAAACAATTTTCGATTTTGGTTTGCATGTTTCTCAAATATGTCCAATTCTGACCCAATTGACAAGCAGTAAAAACAAAATCGGATCGGATATATTAAATTTCAACCATTTACATTTAAGTTCGTTACCCCGATTTCTTGTGAATTTCAACCAAGATGGTTTTTTGGGTGATTGGGTGCTGTATGTCAGACAGCAGTGTTTTTGGAGGAACCTTTTGAATAAAAATTACTGCCTGTAAAGGTTCACGTGGACCAATTATTGGAGGGTGGGATGGAGTGAGTTCTTACTTTTGCTACTTACAAAATATTGTGTGAGAGCAGAGTTTAAAATTGATAAAATGTATTTTTGAAACGTTAGTCGTCTGCCAGCTGACTGTACGATTGGCATAGACCTTTCTTCCCTCCAATTGGAAGAGTCGATGATTTTATCACGTGATTGGTAACCACCTGTAAAGGAGACAATCTATTTGAATCAATAGAGAGCGTGTTAGTTTAATTTTCTAACATCAATTCTAGAGTAACGTTAGAGATCAACAGCCTACAGTTTACCTTTAATGACAAAATAATGATTTTTCCTCCCGTATTTATAGATTTATACTCAAACAGTAATGTAGTTTTAATGTTCAGATAGATTGTTTAAAAACGTAGCGAATA